TTGATAAGAAGAAATATTTCTTGAGCACCAAATCATCATATTAGAATTATATATGAAGGATCATGTGACACTGAAAACTCAGGAATAACAGAAATAAATTTAATTTGAAAAAAAAAAAAAAAACAACATAAATGTCATAATATTTTCTGTCTGAATATATTTTTGATCAAATGAAAGCCTTGGTGAGATATACACTACCGGTCAAAAGTTTGGGATCAGAACGATTTTTAATGTTTTTTTAAAGGAGTTTCCTATGCTCATCAAGGCTGTATTTATTTGATCAAAAATACCGGGAAAAAAATGTATTTTGTGAAATATTATTATGATGTAAAATAACATTTTTCTATTTTAATATACATTAAAATCTAATTTATTTCTGTGATGCAAAGCTGAATTTTCAGCATCATTACTCCAGTCTTCAGTGTCACATGATCCTTCAGAAATCATTCTAATATGCTGATTTATTATCAGTGCTGGAAACTGTTGTGCTGCTTAATATTTTTTTGGAACCTCTGATACTTTTTTTTCAGGATTCTTTGATGAATAAAAAGTTAAAAAGAAGAGCATTTATTTAAAATAGAAATATGTTCTAACAATATACACTACCGTTCAAAAGTTTGGGCTCAGTACATTTTTATTCTTTCTTTTTTTGAAAGAAATTAAAACTTTTATTCAGCAAGGATGTGTTAAATTGTTAAGAAGTGATAGCAAAGATTTATATTGTTAGAAAAGATTTATATTTGTAATAAATGCTGTTCTTTTTAACTTTTTATTCATAAAAAAAAGAAGAAAAAAGTATTGCGGTTTCCAAAAAAAAATATTTGTCAGCACAACTGTTGCCAACACTGATAATTCTAATAATAAATCAGCATATTAAATGATTTGTTAAGGATCATGTGACACTTTATACTGGAGTAATGGCTGATGGAAATTCAGCTTTGCATCACAGAAATAAATTTATATTTTAAAGGATATTAAAATAGAAACCATTATTTTATATTGCAATAACATTTTGCAAGATTACTGTTTTTTTTCTGTATTTTTGATCAAATAAATGCAGCCTTGATGAGCATAAGAGACTTCTTTAAAAAACATTACAAGCCTTATGCTGATCCCAAACTTTTGAACGGCGGTGTATATATTAGTTTACTATACAAAGCAAGGAGTTCAAACAAAGCATAAACAACAATAATAACAAAATATCAAATTAAAGAACAAAAAAGTGGGCTAAGGCAAATTATAGGGTAAAAAGGGGGAGAATTTTACATTAGGGTTCATTGTGCAGGAAAGACAAAAAGTGCTGCCACATAGTTTGAAATCTACAATATGAGTTGGGCTCAAAAGAACATAAAACCTCCATTTATATAATATGAAGCATATAAAGATTGTTGTTGAGTGCTTGTGAGAGTATTGAATATATCAGAAGACCACAAAATCACCAAGCTTATTTTTTAGATCATTTTCAAATTAAATGTATTTATTTTTATTTTAAAAAATAATTTAAATACCATACACTCGTATTTAACCCAGCATTTTTTAGAGTGTACAAACTTTATTTATACTTAAATCCACAGTTTTTAAAAATAGCAGTATTATATCAGCCATCAGCAACTCTTTGCCTCCTTCTACTTGGTGCCGTTGTTGACATCGACCATTGAAAACGCCATATCAGTTGACCGGTAGAAAAAAAGTTCTCATCTATAAGTCTTCATGGAAAGTTTTCAAACTGTCTGGGATTTCTGAGTTGTGCTCCCATAGTTTCCGAGCCCTAAAAGGGTAAGATTACTCTTACTGAAGAAAAATGTAATTGTCTTGTGGAATCAATCTGGTCATCGATGAAAGTGAGCTTTCAGAGTGACTTGACCGGACCCCTCGTGTGCTGTGGGACCAGAATCTTGATGTAGCTGAGCTGCAATCTACTTTGAAGCTCCAACCAGTCTGTGTCGCATCAGCAGTCTGTCTGGGAGTACATACAGGGTCACCTGACCTCCTATCGATTTCATTCCATGACTTCCTGCTGTGACATTCACAATCCACACCAGTTATCCTGAAATCAATCTCACAGAAAGATTGATGTAGCTCTAGAAATATTAATTGTCCTAAAAGTATAAGACGGTTTCACTTCAGCCGTGATGGGCAGATGACTGTTGCCGCTCATACTTTCTGTCCTTTTCTACTTTCATTTCTTTGTTGCTCTTCGGGGCTCTGACTTTTCCATTGTCTCACACAACAGAGCTGTTCACTCATGACGTCAATTTGTAGACTGACCCGGGAGGAAATAGTATAAAATGTCGTAACCATCCTTTACTAACATATTTTAAAATTATAACATTTTTCTTGAATCATTATTTACAAGATTTTTTAAAATATATATTTTTTTCAAGGTAAAAAGTTGATTATTTTTATTTCCAAATATAATTTATCTATTAAACATATATTTAATAGAATGAATATAAAATTATATATTGAATCTAAAATTGTCATATAACACTCAAAATGAATACTGTATTTTCTTTGAATCATTATTTTTAAGAATGTTTTGAAATATATTTTAAAAATGTAAAAATTTAATTGTTTACATTTACAAATATCATTTATATATTACATATTAATTTCATGTATATAATTAATCTAATATTATATATTGAATATAAAAATGTTTTTTGGTGTAACCCTCAAGTAAAAATTTATACCATATTTTCCTTCTAAATTTTTTATTGTATTTTTTTTTTATGTATTACGTTTTTGGAGAGTCACACCACGTGCCATTTTACAATCTGAACTAACCTTGTCTTGTCATATAAAGATCAAATTATATAATATTTTTACGAGAATTATTGACCTTGCATGCTGTTTTCACCACATGATTCTTAAAGGGGTGGTTCATTGCGATTTCACTTTTTTAACGTTAGTTAGTGTGTAATGTTGCTGTTTGAGCATAAACAATATCTGCAAAGTTACGAAGCTAAAAGTTCAATGCAAACGTCTCAGGTTACTTATGTAACCATGGTTCCTAAAAGCTAACATAAGCAGTAGCATTTACAAATAACAGCGTATCTAAAAGTATGAGACAACAACAAACAAAAAACATAGGCCTACCATTAAAAGCCGTGCTTGCACAGGTTCTGCACGATCCTCTTCAATAATATCCTCTGCTTCTCAATCGGGCTCAAAGTGATAAGCGATATTAACGACGCCTTTGTTTACGATACGACCGGAGCACATGCCGCTGAGGAGAGGGGCGGGACAATAAGAAGCACACTAGAGGCGGTTTAGCCAATCACAACACACTGGGCTAGCTAACCAATCAGAGCCCATCCCCTGTTTCTGAGGGAGGGGCTTCATAAAAGAAGGAAATTGATCAGCGCGTTTCTCAGAGAAGGGACAGAGCGGTGTAGAATAAAGGTAAATTATGTGAAAAATAATGCATTTTTAAAAAAACAAAGCATTAACACATGTTAGACTGCACACCATAAACACAATCAAGCCTAGAAAACAACCACTGAACCACCCCTATAATACAAAAATGAGAAAGGAAAAAAAAACACCTAGGAAAAAAAATTTGAATACATTAATAGACAAAAAATCATGGCTGTGATGTAACTAAAGCCTACCTATTTAAATAAAAAGAAAGAAAGAAAGAAAGAAAAATACAAAATAAATATTGCAATAAAAAAAAAAACACTCAGAAAATGATGTTGTTCAAGTGATTTCATGGGGTTTTAAAGCTATTTCTTGCTGAAGCATAGTCGTGTGCAACCGGTCTTGATTTATGGATAGTGCATTAGGGGTTTTTAAATGAGAGGGTGATTCCTTGTCTGCCTCTCTGATCAGTCCTTCTCAAATGTATGTACGTCAGATCTCTTCTGTCCTGAGCCAAAAGCCCATTTCACAGAATGACTCATCAAGTCTGTCATTCTCTCTATTAACCTGTGAATGATACGCTCTAACCCCTTTTAGCCACTATATCCTGCCTTAAGTAGCTCATAATTCAATAGAGACATTTATCCAGAGCTCCTACTCTTATCTTCCACATCTATTACTTTCTCCCTCTCATTTTCTGTTCTTTTTGCATTCAGTTTCTCACTCTCACCATGACTGTATGAATTAATTCCAAATTTTATTTATTTATTATTATTATTATTATTATTATTATTATATAAATCAATGTATGGAAAACTGGTAATGTATATCGAAATATCGGAAATGTGTTTAAAAATCATATCACCGTTATTGAAAAAAATTATATCGCGATACATATTGATATTGAATTATTGTCCAGCCCTAATTCCAGTATTATAATTAGTAATCACAATCAAATATTTTTTTTTATAGTAAAAAAAAAAATACTATTATTATTTTATATTAAAAATGTTTTTAAAAATTCTGAAATGGTCGAAAGGCATGAGTTGGATCTGGTAAAAAGTAAAGATATATATTGCCCCACTAACTTTAGAATAATTAAATGTTTCTAAAAAAAAATGTTCCCAATATTTTGCAGCCCTAACTTATACTTAATTAGGTGTTACTATGATCACATCTATGATTGATGTCATTGTCCTGTGGCTCCAGACTGATTAGTCACATGGTATTTACAGCAGACATTGGGTGACATATGTGAAATATGTCTGAAATATGTAGAATTTATATTAAACTTTAGACCCTGAAACCTATCAGCAGCACCTAAAAGCCTTTAAGTGCTCTGTTATGGATAAATTATTGAACACGGCTATTTCATACCTTTTATGTGACCAAAAGTGGAGGAATGTCTTTTTTAACTGTTCTGTATTGATTTAAATTCATAGAATAAAGTCCATTGTTCATTCTGCATTCTTATTAAATGCTGAATCATTTCTATAAGTAGCTGTGGCAATAAATCAATGCTAACAGTGTTTACTTAACAGCATTTCTATTGACCCACATGAATCAAGTTTTTATTATAAGTTTGAACTTTTGCCAACAAATGCAAATGGATTAATAACTCTATTTTTCTTCTCCAGCTCAGTCCTTCAAAGAGTTTTCCCAGCTGCTGAGCACCATGGAAGAGGAGAGAAGGCGGCTGGTAAGTACTGAGTATACATACTATAGATGCATTTATGGTATCTGTAACCTTAATAGCATGACTGTATGAATTAATTCCAAATTTTATTTATTTATTATTATTATTATTATTATTATTATTATTATTTAATATTTTAATTTGTATTAAAAAAAGTATATGTAAATGTAAGATCACTTTGGTGTCAATTTTGTCACCAAAACTATTAGTAAGTACACAAACACAGCGAGTAGGGATGGGAAATATGTGCAATATTAATTGACAGTTTTTGTAACAATAAATAAACAAAAAAAAAACAAAGCTGTCAATATTACCATGTTTAATGAACTTTTTTATTTGGCCATTAATGTCCCTAAAGTTGGTGTGTTTGGTTCATTTCTATGTATTAAAATCTTTAAATATAAAATATAGGTAAATATTACTGTTTCATCTATTTTTACAGTGTGAAAAAATTATTTGTTTGTTTATTGTTGCATTCAACATTTAATAAATCATCTTTAATAAATCATCAAAAGACTACAAATTATCAAGATGTAGTTTAAAAAAATGATATTTCCCAGCCCTAACAGTGATTGTGTTGTGTGCATGTCTGGCATCAGTGGGTGTTTTTGGAGGCTTCTGTGAGATGGCAGTCTTACGTTCAGCTGTCCATGGCTGCTAAAAGCCATGGAGCATAAATGGACACAAAGAGAGTGGACAGGCTGTCTGGACCGATGGTTTGATAATTGCGTTTACAGAGTTGGCAAGCTGAACTTGACCAAGTGTCCAAGCTCAAATGAAGGTAAAGTCCATCCAGGCAGAGACAGCAGCTGTCTCTCATCCACAGCCTGTTTAAATGAAGCGATGGAGCCATCGGTGGCTTGAAGACGCTGTTCCGAGCAATCACACGCTGCCATTGTGCTACAGCAAGAGAAAGAGGGTATAGTGCCAGTGCTGGATGAGGTTGCGGATGATGGTGGGTTTCATTTTGAAGGATGTGTATTTCTTAGTGAAGCACTTAACACAATGGTCTTCGAATTCAAGCGCAAGAACAATCGACTCAAAAATGTAATTTTGTCATTATATATTGAGAAGGGGTCATAGTTTTGGTTGGTTAGCATGGTACATGACCAAAAAAAATTTAAAATTAATAATAAAAGTACCATAAAAAGTAGTTCATAATTTGAGCACTATATTTCAGAATTTTCATTCATAACATTCAGAGTTGAGGGAATTATAGATGGAAGACTTCATTATAGACTATTTCCAAACATTCATTTGTTGAACTTTTACATTATACTTGACTGTATGGTGAATTTTATATATATGTGTGTGCAAATTAGAATTAAGGTTACTTGTTCACACTCACACCTGCTTAGTTCTGTGTCATTTGTTTTATTATTCCAAGTAGCTCATATTAGGCTATACTAATTGTAGACTCACTCTCTCTGTTGTAACCTTTGGGTTAGGTACTTTGCTCAAGGACTTAGTGAGGGTTGTGGGAATTAAAGTAATTTCCAGTTCATGGGTCGCCTCTATTTGATATTGATCTACCTTCAATGCAGCGGTTGCTCCTTGGGTCAAGGTTACGTTTGTTAGCCCCTGCTGGTAGGGGCTGTAACTACACCATCTGACATCTGAACTTGTTTATTTTTAATTTTTTTCATAATATTACAATAATTCCAGTTAGGGCTGGACGATATCTTATAAAAAGGTTTTTTTTTTTTTTTAATGATACCATAGTAGTACCATATTGTTTTCCCCATATCATTGCTTTCTTGGGTGTGTACTGTATGTTTCAGACATGTTCTATGGCAATACCATGATGTATTTATTAAATATGATAAAGGTAAAAAAATTTGCTAATGCAATAAAACAAATAAAATAAGTATTTGTTTGCAGATACCAAGAAAGTACTATTGTTGTTTCCTGTTATCAAATTAACGCTCCATAAAATCCTCATGATTAGCTGAGCTGATAATGAGAAAGCAAGTAAACAAACAAAGCCTGCTTTTCCCCCTCTGATCGGTAAAACAGCAAGTATGAATTTGTCAGATAAATAATGTTTAATCACCCTGTCAGGGTTTATTTTATGATAATGACCAGTTAACGGTGTGTTATCTTGCTTTTACACAGCTACTTTACCAAATAAAAAAATGCTATTTTGTAAGAAAAAGAGACCAATAGAAGAAAATCAAACAGTTAATTATACAGTTGGACATTATATCCAAACAGCTGTGTAATTTTTAATCAACGTATTAAAGCAGGTACACTCTAAAATAATTTTTCGAAGATTACTGTAGTATGTTTTACAAGAAAACACTATTTCAGTCTTTCTACTTCAAAATTTCACCTTTAGTTCAGTGTGCTACTTGCCATTTCTTTGTAATTATTTGTGCAAATTGTTTCAGAATTTTTTTTGTCAGTGTAGATCATGGCAAGGATCATGGCAAAACCAGCCGCAAACCATAACCATGTGGCACGCTAGACTTGGTCGTAAATTGTGTCTGGTTTCTGTGTGGGTGTCTCAGACCTCAGAGCTGACATGTCAGTGAAATCCAGAAGAGACGGTATGGTTAACATGTTTGACGTGTGTGGTCACTCGTCACGACTTGCAGTGACATCCGGTGGATATCACGTACGGTTCCAGTAATATGATGTACAGTTCTGGGAATATGAACCCTTACGCTGTAGTTTGACATCAAAGGTTCAGTAGTTTGCATGAAGTCACTGGTGCGAGCAGCCCTTGGGCCTTATTTTCTTCTCATTGCGTCATTATTGTCCCTCCTGTTAAATTAAATGTGAAAACAGCAAACACTTCAGGCAATATGCAGCCTCATTTAGACAAATGTCCTTAAAACGTAACCACAAAGATGTGAGAATAATCTAAATGCTTAATAGCTCACTTAAATGGTGCTTTAATGATGTGTGTGATTATCACACAGTTACCAGCTGCTCATTTAAACCTTTAAACTACCTAACTAAATGGCAAGAATAATACATCAGGGATGCACGTTTCAGACAAATACAAAATCAGGCCATCAGTTTTTAAAGGGGGGGGTGCAATGCTGTTTCATGCATTCAGAGTTGTTTACACTGTTAAAGAGTTGGATTCTCATGCTAAGCATGGACAAAGTTTCAAGTAACGGAGTTTCACAAGTATGGTTGTTGACGAACGTTTTATAAACAAGGCCCAGTTCGACGCTGGATTTACACATAGTTTGATACTGAAAGATGGAGCAGTCCCAGCTATAAAAGATCCCGGTCATGATTCAGAACTGCAGACGGTAAGTGAAACAGCATCAAATTTGTGTTTTGTTGGCGATCAGCACAAGTGGTCGTCACTCTTTAGCTCCGCCCACGGCGCGCCTCCAGGAGCTCGGCTTTTTCTGGAGAGAATCGTAAAGCTGTATCTTTCCTTTATAAATATGATCAAACTAAAGACTTTTTGGAGATATGAAGGATGCAGTACTACTCTATTGGTACTCAAGATTAACATGAGATTGGGTGAAACTGTGTGTGTTATGCCCCCTTTAAATTAGTCGAGTTGTGCTGTAGCTCCACCTTTCATTCTATATCTTCCTACCAGTGCCATCACTAGGGATTCTGGGCCCCTTCTCAGTTGGGCTGCCCAAAGGACATCGTTGGTCACTAACACCCCTGCTTCCTACCAAGACCAGATAGACAGCAACATTATGTTACATACAGTTCCCACACGTGCACCTAAATAATCTATAACAATGACGCTGCAATCACGTCTTATAACTACCACAAATTAAGTTGACTATTACCACCCCCTTCAATCCGATCGAAATTTAATTCCGATCGAGCTCAATCGGATCGATTAAGGTGTTTACATGAAGGCTTTTCAGTTCGATTGAGCCATCAATCCGATTACAAACGGATTATTGGGTTGCATGTAAAGTTTAACGTAGCCACTGAGAATCATCCTGCTCCAGTCGTGCTAGCGAATCAGTGTCTGGTTGATCAACTAGACATTTCATCATCAGACTCGGGCTCGAATTTATACGGTAAAATCGATACCATCTTTTCCCTCTATACATTCTCTCCGGAGCTGTCATTCAGTTATGGCAATGGGCGTTTCGTTTCTGACACGCGCTGTATGTGGTAGACCAATGACAAAGGACTAGGCCATCTGACCAATCAGAGCAGAGTAGGCTCACAGAAAGGAGCTTTTACATTTATAGGCCACCACACGGACAAACGGCAACAAACACCAACAAACAAGTCTGTTGGAGTTTGTTGGATCAGTGGCTACGTTTACATGCACAATTTTTGGTTCAGTCGGACTGAATTCATTCCGATTGATGAATCTGAATGTAGTGTTTACATGAACGCTAAATAAAGTGATCGGGTTGATGTGTGCGTTTATATGTCACAAGCTTCAAATCGGAATTGATTTTTTTTTACATGCGCACACTGCACAAATATAGAGTTTCTCACTGCACATAATAACCAATCTCCTACACGGTTTCTTTATTTGTTTTTAACAGCAGAATTATCCATTTATGGATAAATATACATATAAACCGCTGTGCCGTGCTGCTCATATTTATCACGCAGTAAAAATGCCCCTCCCCGCGCCCAAAACGGGTTGCCTGTGGATGAGTATCCAAAACAAGGACCCCTCTATACATTCTCTCCGGAGCTGTCATTCAGTTATGGCAATGGGCGTTTCGTTTCTGACACGCGCTGTATGTGGTAGACCAATGACAAAGGACTAGGCCATCTGACCAATCAGAGCAGAGTAGGCTCACAGAAAGGAGGGGTTTAGAGAACCTGATTTTTCGAACTGCTTCGTATGAATCATTGAGAAATGCTGTTAAATTAAATGTATATTATGAGAAAACTAAAGTGTTTTTGACCTTGCATGCATGTAAACCTGTTGTTGGAGCATCTTAAAACAATATTAGGAACCTTAAAAATGGCATAATAGGGGCACTTTAAGATACCTCGTTACATTACTGAAATTTTGGTGGAACTTTGCAGCCAAAATGGTTCAT